TAAGTCTTCTGTACGAGTAATTTCTATAATCTTTCCTCAAATAAGAGCAGTTTGAATCATCTCTTATGCATCAGACCTTTTTCTAGTTATGCATTATGTACTCACTCATTCTGATATTTACAACTTTTTTTTTAATTTTTGCGTATTCATCAAAAACTATATTGCCTGTGTTTTCAAGGATGACCACTGTGATCTCTCTCTCAAATATATATGTTTCACAACATACATCTATGGATACATTTTTATGTATACAGGAACTTTTTTGGTAGAGAATATATTTGCAACAAAGAGAGGATAAATTGCAAGCACAAATGATAAATACATTAATTATGCACTTCTGATTATCTCACTTGCATCTTCCCACTAAATTATTTCCACTAAACTCAGTCTGACATACCCAAACCCCCAAGGAGCTTCAGAATACCACCATTACAACATCAGCTTGAGTTTGATAAGAAAAGTTTACCTGTTTCCTATAAACATGTAAATTGTCTACCCTCTCTTCTGATTAGCTCAGAATGGAGTATATTTGGCAATGTACCTTTCTTTTCTTTTTTTTTCTTTTTTTTTTTTTTTCAAGTCAATGGCTTTACTGTCCAATGTCCTACATTCCTGCCAGGTTACAAAGGGCACTACTGGAAGCTTTGCACCACTGGAAAAGTGGAATTCTTGGTTATTGCTGCTATTTCTCAAAGGCCAGGGATAAAAAAAAATTAGATTTATGTTGGTGTTATCTATAGAAAAAGCTATTTTAGGTTACATTGCAAGGCTTTGCTGTCTCTTGTGGGGCTCTTGAATTCATGGTAGCTAAGGCATCAGGATTACAGGCAAAGGCGAAAACCAGGAACTTTCTAAAACACTCCTCAAATACTTAAGTGGAATAAACAGGGTATATGATGAGGCCTTATGATATACATTTTATTAGCATCTATTTGGCACGGCTGCACTACTCTTGAATGGTGAAATAAATTCAGGGGGGTTGTATCAGTCATGGTATCATAGAAATATAGGAAAATAGGACTGGGAGGGACCTCACAAGGTCATCTGTTCTCACTCCTTGCTCAAGTCAGGATCATCCCTGACTAAACCATCCCAGTCAAGTGTCTGTCTAACCTGTTCTTGAAAAATCCTAAGAAGAGAGATTCTGCCTGCAAACAAATGCTAGTTAAACTATACAGCATACCACTCCCACCTGGAATTTCTTTTTATATTTATTTATTTATTTATTTATTTATTTTTATCTGGAATCAGGATTTTCTTTGGAAGCCAATGTCTTTTTCTGCTATTTCACAACTGTACTGCTTTAGGGGAATACAGGTTCACTGCAGCTCCCTCCCTATTCTTTCCTGCTGGATATTTCAATTCATGGGAAAACTGTGTGACTGTCTATATAGGTAGCAGCTGCCCAAATGTGATAGTTTAGCAGCTGCAACTATATGACCTGATACCAATGAATTAAAATGTCAAACACCTTGTACTGCATGCCAAAGAAAAAATGAGATTTTAATTAATCTTTTCTATGCAAGGGAAACTTCAGACAGTTTGAGTGAGTAAAGCAGGAAGCTGTGGAAACAGGTCCTCACAGCTGAACAGGTCAGGGGAGAAAGTGGAACAATTAGGGCCTTATTACATGGGATACTTAGTATGTGCTAAATCTGTGCAGTATTAAAGGTAGAACATATTATGAGCAGTCACCCATTAATGTTTACTATGATCTCTAAACATGCACAGCTCACTGACTGTGGATCCCATCCCTGATACAACACTGGACTGGTTGAACTGGCTCCAGTGTGGTGCCAGGCCTGGGACTGACAATGGAGGTATGGCAAAATAAAGGGGTCCCAAGCTGATGTCACAGCTGGAAGAAGATCTTCATATTGCTTCTATTATCTCTGTGAAGCGGTCCAACAACAGCTGAACACATTACTTAATACAATCTGGAGATACTCCTTGCTCAAAAATTCCCAACTTTGCTACAACATGAGTGTACTTAACATGGGTTTTATTGCTTGACACATGGTTGCTGACTTTAAGTAGATTTAATACATGATAGGTGTGACATGTGACATGGCACTCAATCGGGTCTCAATGGAAATCCCAGGCATCCCCCAGTTCTCTTATCCCCTTACACTATCGTGCTATAAGTATGTTGCAAGTAAGTGGTACAGTTTTGAAAACTGATGCTGTACAAGCTGATGCTGTGGTTAAGGTTTGTTCCTTCTCATTTGGTAGGCATTACTGCTATGTATTATGACCAGGGATCTTGGTTTTCTCTGATTTAAAAAAATCCCCAATTTTCTGTTAAAAAAGTAACCCCAAATCCACATTTTTCTGTGATTTAAATGAAAAACCATACACATACACACACGTGTGTGTGTGTGGATTTGGGTTACTATTTTTGGACTGAAAATTGGAGATTTTTTAAATTCAGAGAAAACCAGGATCCCTGATTATGACATGTTCACTTCCCACAGGGAGCTATAGATTTATCTATAAGTTCCCTATCTTTCACAGACTAGGAATTATGTACTCCAGTACATACTCCATTACAATGAAGAGGTAGAATTGAGTTTCTATAGGAATCTTATTGGCTAAATCCCTATCGAAATGAAAGTTAAGACTACACAGCTGTTTGGATAACAGGCTATTATTTTGTCAAAAGATTCCTTACTTTTTACTGAAATTCTAAAATGAACTTTTGATGTGTATCTTTACAAAATACTTATCCAGAAGCAATTTTCTTTATGTTGTTTTCAGGGCAAGACAAAATAATACATAATGGTTTAGGCAGAACTAAATTGGAAACATTTTTCTCATCCTAAAAAAAAATCCCATTTCGTACTGGAATGAAACAGAATTCTTTTGGTTTTTTTTTAAGGAAAAACTAAAGAAAGACTCGCTTCAAAATAGGTAATATATCAATGAAGAATATGGACAAGGAGCAGAACTGGATTCCAAATAAGTAAACATTGTGAAAAAGAAATCAATAAACTTAGAGAAGTTTATACTATATATCCCAGACTTCCAGTGACGCAGGTCAGAATTCAGAGAGAATATTTATTGTCACTCTCTTTCTGTTGTTTTATGCAAAATGTACTGCATTGGTTTAAAAAAATACCAAGCCCCAAAACAAGTGAATTCCGACTCAAAAATCAACTTTGCCATTGCTGGATTCTCATTTCTGGCTCTAGGAGCACTACAACTCAAAATCTCTTCTTCACCTTCTAGCAAGGCAGCATTCCTTTATTCTGTAACCTCATACAAAGAGTAGGAGGCAACCAGGGACTATAGGAGGCATTACCATTTCAGCTCTAAATGCTTGATTCCCTCTTGTGATAAATCAAAACTCACTTTGTGTATGTCTTATGACATCCTGTTTAGTTTCTAAATATGGTCAGTATAATACTAAATGACTCCCCTGACACAAATAAAGCTGAATGGTATTGAGTCCTATAAATACAAAGCAGCACTCAGTTTCTTTCTCAGATCGAATTTTTATTGTGGCTCTGTATGAAATGCTGAGTTATACTTAAATATCACTTAAAAATAATGTTATCTGGTGAGGTAAACCCAATTAACAAACAACCAAAGTATATGCTAGCACTTTGAAAAGGAAATCACAAGGTGGGAAACAAATTATTATAGGCCTATTGGAACAAAATGGGATTCTTTTTTTCTTTTTTGGAATGTGCTGAACTTTCCTGAGTGTTCTCATTATAATTCTGATTACAATATGCTAGTGCGAAAATGAATTCTGTACTTAAAAGGGCATCAAGTATTTTTTAAAGACAGTTTATTTGTATGTGTTTTACCTTGATGCTACCCTTCTAAACTTGAGGCACATTATAAAATAAGAATAACGTTATTTTCATGTCAGTGTTTTAATGTAATTCATTTATTGTGATGGACAACCTGCCCTCCAGATCTTCCAAGATGAAGTATTTTAATTTGAAAAGCAAAACCTTTTCCACAGGAATCAGCTTTAGTTCACTTATGCCAATGCTTCTTTCAAGGCTTTTGAATAAGTCATAGCCTTTTTATGGACTTGTTCATATTAGAAAATTTGTGTCCATGAAACTCCCCAAAATTAAAATTGATTTAGATACCCCTGTTCAAACTCATCATGAAGATATCACTTAATGAACCTGTTTAAGTGCATTTCCAGTAGAGGTTTCTACCAATGCAACTACAACACTTCTAAATCAATTTACTTAAAGACCTGGACCTTCTCTAATATAAGAGGCCTGGGTGACAACAAACCAAAAGCAGTTTCTGTACATACCACAGCCATCTCATTTGGAGATTAAACCACTTTTCATCAAAGTTTTTCATTTATTTGGCTTCTTTCCTCACATTCTTCTGTATACAGACATGCTATTTACATGCAAGTAATGCCATTCTATATTTACTACTGTGTTTGCAGAATGCGAAAGAATGTGACACAATGTAAAAGGTACTTCCTAGGAATACTTTGCATATTTCAATCCTGAATTAGCAAATGATTTCATAGGCCCTCATAAGGAAAGAAAAACAGGTTAGTGTAAAAATAATTAATAGGTACATATTTATTTCTTTTGCAAGGAGCAGGATTTGTCTAGTAGTATCTTTTATTGGTCCAGCTAACCATTTGAAGCAATGTAAGACCACCTGTCAGAAATGCCCTTCAGGTCTTTCCAATTATAAGATGAGTTGATCAAAACAAAACTTGCCTCTTGCACAGGCTTTGGACCATCCCAGCTACCACACAACTACAGCGTATGTTTTGCTGCATAGACGGTGGCTCCTTCCTCTCGTTCTTACATTTTGTCATGTACTGTCTCTATGTTCTAAATTGGTTTTCTGAAGTGGGAATTGACTTTATCTATTTCGTGCATCTTACCAGTGTAGAAAATATAATAAATGAAATGTATAATAAGCCAGACTACAAACGAAGTTCTGTGCTGACTACAGCTTCACCAATGTACAAAAACAACAGTGAAAGTATTAATATAGCGGTGTACCTTGAAAAATAACCAGGATGTTATCCGTTTGACCATTCTTACAGCCCAGAAGACATGTCTGTACAGGTCAGTATCCACTACTCCAGGGTCTACTACATTAGCAGTCACAAAGCTTCCCTCTGCTGTGAGAAGATGCTGTAGTCGATAGGTAAATAATACAAGGGCAAGTTTGCTTTGGGCATAAGCTCCATGAGGCGAGTACGAATATCTGCATACAACAGAGAGAGAGAAAAAAAAATCAGAAAAAAAATGGCACAGCACCAACATCAAATAAACAGCCAGTTTGCTTTTTGCTACATTATACAGGAAAAAAAAACCCAGCAACACACTGAGTAGGCACAAGAAGGGGCTTATCATTTGCAGGCAGATTGCTTGCTGTAGTTCTGGTGATTATTCTACTCGATTCAGTGACCAATGCATGGAAATATTTTAGATAAACCTACAAGCTAACAGAATCCTTACTTCAAATAACTGTGGTATCATTTGTGTTAGAAATGCTAAAGTATCAAGTTGTAATCTTGTTCCTTTATTATTTGTTAGTTATACTCCTGTAATCAAAGGTTTTTGGTGCTGGGCACTATACTAACCAGTAAAACTAATGAAATAAAAGTACAGTATTAGTAAAATGAACTATTTGATTTGAGATCATAGTTGAGGATTAGGTAAGGTTCAAGAGGTAGATGAACAGACCCAAGGAGGTGCTGAACAGATGGGAAGAAGTGAAACTGTGAGGTATAAACTTTAAAAAAATCCTGGAAAATGCCAGGATAGAACAAAGGATTAAATGCAATGCACAAAAACAATCATGTATAATACAACTGTACAAACCATGGCATTTATGGCAAAATATTTATGTTGAGAACTCATATGGTCCTTCTACTACTTGAATGTTGGATCAAAACTGCTTTACATTTTTAAAAGCCAACTTTCTTTGTAATTGCCAATTACTTATATGTCATTTCATTTAGGCAGAATTAAAAAAATTAAGCATGCCAGGGTGGAGCAAATTAATAGGCATGCAACTTATAATACACCTCTAGACTGAGGTTTCAGCACCGCTTGCACAAACCTCTTTTCCATGACAGTTCTACCTGTGCAATTATTTCAGGCCTTTTTCATTTAATTGCCCTGCGCTTTGAAGACCAGTGGTAATGCCTCAGATGATTTCTGTGTTTCTTAATATGCACAAGACAATATACAGAATTTCTGCTTGCAGTTGTGAGATGTCTGTCCAGGCACGACCGCTCACCATTGAGGCTTCCACCCAGTCCTGGTTTAGCACTGTGAAGACTGCAGCTTGCAGGTTCCTTCCAGTAACTGCCAGGTTGTGGGGGGGGACGACACTACCTACAATGTGAACAGTGCCTCTTTGTGGTGTCCCATCAGGAAGCAAGCCAGACAGCTACAGGAGGAGGTGGCAAGGCTCTGAAGGATCCTCTGCCATGAGAACTTCATTGATTTGATGCTGAAGGTGATCTCTAAGACTGTAGAGGAAGGACTGCCAAAGGCAGTGCTAGAGAAGGGAGAGGACAGACTCCTGGGAAGGTGGAAGCTTGTGACCTCAGGCAGTAAGCAGAAATCTTCATCTTCACCTGCAGTAGTTTACCTGGAGAATGGATATGGAGCAGAGGAGGACGAGCATGTTCCATTGGTACAGGAGGACAGACCAGGCATTCCCAAGGTTTGAAGGACTGAGACCACTGCCACCAAGAAGAAGCAATGGGTGGTGGTGGTTGGAGACTCCCTTTTGAGGGAGACAAAAGCATCCATCTGTCAGCGTGACCTGTTGTCTTGGGAGGTCTGCTGCTTGCCTGGAGCCTGGATGTGAGATACCATGGAAGGATTACCAAGACTCCTCCAGCCCTTTGACTACTACCCCATGCTGGTCATCCTTGAGAACATCAGTGATACTGCCAGGGGTGAGCTTGCAGAGATCGAAAGTGATTATAGGGCTCTGGGTGCAAGTGTGAAGGGGCGGGGGCTCAGGTGCTCCCTTGGATTCTTCCAGTCAAGGGGAAGGGCACAGGCAGGACTGGGGACAGCCTGCAAATCAATGAAAGGTGTCACCAGCAGGGCTTTGGCTCCTTTGACCAGTCCTACACTCAGGACAGAACAATCCGATGCACTGGTACAGTCTGGAGGTTGACTGGCTAAGCAGCAGCTCTGCAGAAAAGGACTTGGGGGTTACAGTGCACAGTAAGTTGAATATCAGCCAACAGTGTGCCCTTGTTGTGAAAAAGACCAACAGCATATTGGGCTGCATTAGTAGGAGCGTTGCCACCAGATCAAGGGAAGTGATTCTTCCCCTAGTGAGGCCACATCTAGAGTACTATGTCCGGTTTTAGGTCCCCCACTACAGAAAGGATGTGGAGAAACTGGAGATAGTCCAGCAGAGGGCAACAAACATGGTTAGGCAGCTGGGATACAGGACTTTTGAGGACAGGCTGAGGGAACTGGGCTTATTTAGTCTGGAGAAGAGAAGATTGAGAGGGGGTTTAATAGCAGCTTTCAACTACTTGAAGGATGGTTTGAAAGAAGATGGAGCTAGATTGTTCTCAGTGGCAACAGATTACAGAACAAGGAGCAATTGCAATAGTAAAATACATTTTAAGTACCTGTAAATTTTGGTATTTGATTTTGGGCTTTTTATCATGGCAAATCCGAGTTCCCCCCGCCCCTTTAGCTCACCATGATGCAGATAGAGGCCCCTTACTCCCAAGCCACAGCCCCCTGGCCTTGCTGGTGCTCCTCACTCCCCAGTCACAGCCCCCCTGGCCCTGTTGTAGCCCCTCACTCCCCACTCAGCCTCCCAGCCCTGCTGGTGGCCTCCACCCTCACCCCTTTTGGAGGGGGCCTCCAGCTGCCAGAGCTATGGGCCATGGGTCCCAGGTCCACAGCCTTCTCCCACTGCGCCGGCAGCACCCAAGCCCTGGCTGCTGCCTGCAGGAGCCAGCAGTTTCTGCAGCCCCAGCAGGGAGTGAAGCCTGGCTTCCTCTCCCCCACAGGTGGCACTGCTGGAGTGGAGCCCATGGAAGGGGAGTGCAGGCTGCCCACGGTGGGTTTGGGTTTCCTGCCCTGCTGCTCTCCCTCTGGGGCCTCTGCAGCCCAGCAGGTGGGACTGAGCATGGCAGAGAAGAGTGGGGCTGGGTGGGGAAGCTCCTCACCATTGCAAGCCCTGCACCACCCTGGTGACGTGCCTGCTGGCCACCCAAAAGCAGTGAGGGACACAACTCCACGCTGCTACCCTCACTGCTGCCAGCCAGGCAGGGGGCACTTCTTCAGGGTGGCTGAGGGCTTGCAGCAGCAAGGAGTTTCCCTGCCCAAGCCCACTCTGCCCTGCCACACCAGTTCCCACCTGCTGGGCTGCAGAGGCCCCCATTGTGTGTGTGTGTGTGTGGTTGTGGTGGGGCGGGGGCACAGCAGGGCAGGGAGCCTGAGCCCACAGCTGGCAGCCAACCCCACACACAGATATGGGGAGCACCTGCCCCTCCTTACCACCCCAGGAA